TATTACTATTGCTACTTTTTGTTGTTCTATCTTAAAGTCAAGTTTAAGTATTTAAGTTGAAAGAACGAAACCTTAAAAATGTTTCAGCGGCGTATTTGCTTTAAGAATTTCGTAAGCTTTATGATTTTACCTCCTACGGAAAAACGTAGAAAGAGATTTGTATGTGCTTTAGTTTTTTTTTTATATACGATTAATATTCCAATTACTATAAAATAAATTAAAAATGAAGATCGTATTGCCGATAGTGTTTACTGGCTATTACAGGAATATTAAAGCTCGAATATTAAAGCCTAGACTCGAATCCCAGCGGGCGCCAACGTTAATGCAAGATTATAATTATCGTGTATAGCTTGATTGTTATAGTTATCTACGAGTCTCTTTCCACATTCGATCTTTTTCATATATAATATTTTATTAAAAAACGAAATAACAGTCGACCTGGTACTATGTGGCTACTGAATACCAGTTGTCACTTCTGAGGACTAAGTTAGAATGCCTCAAAACCTGTAATTATATTGACTCACTTTACTCTTTGGACTAGAACACAGTAGTGTGTGCTAAAAATAAGTAAAAGTACCTATCTACACGAACTTTTAGGCAAAAAAGGAGTTCTAAAATCTATACATAACATATGTATGATGATTGCGCTGTAGCTAACATCTGATTCTTTGAAGGTGGTGATGGTGATAACCATGGTCGTTAATCGACAAGAAAGTTATCATAGTATATATCTAGTTTAAAGACCAACGTAATTTTAGCGTTGTAACAATATTTTTATTATTCTTTCGTCTTTCGCCATCTAAAAATAAAAGAATAATACGCATATAATATTTCAGAATATGTATTATTCAGCAATTATTTCACTAAAGTAAACTCTATTAAGCCGTGATAATCTGTGGAAGTTGTCAACAAACTAAGAAGAAGTAAGAGTACTAACGTAAAGTTGTCCGACTAGTTCTTAACAACTCCGTATAGGGTGAATTATTTATTTATCCTAAGTCGTAAGTTAAATCAACTTCTCAACTTAGTATACATATTTTTTCAGAAATTAGATGGAAACATTACAGTTTACATTACAGTGTCTTTATTTGATATTATGAATATAAGCCATTCTGATAATTTAATTTTATTACGTACCATTATTATCTTACTTGTTTAATTTTTGAAAATATAGTGAACTATATTTTATATATATATATATATATATATATATATATATATATATATATATATATATATATATATATATACATATATATATATATATATATATATATATAAATTTTAGATATTGAGGTTGTTTAATTTCACTAGGACTTTTATTTATCGGAATTTATCGGGGCTTCGACTCCTTGAACAAATACCCATACAAAAAAGAATATCTCCTGTATCGTGGGGGCAATTTACAAACATAAATATCACAAGCACAAACATCCAGACCCGGAACAATTATTTTTAGGCTATACAAATACTTGTTCCGTACGGGATTCAAACTCGCGGCCCTTGGCGCAACAACTCATTACTAAGCCTTAGCCCTTAAATGCATAATAAAAGATTTTTTCCCAAAAAAATTATTTTGTCTCATAAAGGCGTAACATTTACTGAATAAAATAAAATAAAAAATCTATATTAACGGGAACATTTATTTTTTTATAAAAATATTTTAGTATCGTTTTCGATACAGTATGCATTAGCTTTGCAAAATAATCATGATTTTACAAAGTTGAAGAATTGTGAAAATGGGTGAAACGATCTTTGGATTTCTTACTACATAAGTGAACATTGCACTTAGAACATTTAATTATACTTAATAAATTACATGATGGCATCATACATCGACCACGTGTTTCTGTTCTCATGATGTTATGATCCATTTGGTCGAGTCTAACTTCAAGGGGTGGCAAAACTTGGCAAGGTTTCCCTTTTCGCATTTTAAGTGGGGGTTGATCTTCCCTAATTGCACTGGTGCTTGGGCGCCCTCCGTTGTTAGCGGGACTATATTTGCAAAGAGTTTCTGCCAACTCTGATCGAAAGTCTGCAAGGGTCATGATTTGTTTGTGGTTTCCTTTTTTTTTCTTCAACTTTTTTATATAACACCCACGAATTTATTACTGTCAAATCAAGCAGGTGATAGAAGATTCTCATGTACCACTTTCTGCTCTTCATTCGAATCCTATTTCTTCCTAAAAAGGAATCCATGAGGTCTACACCACCCATGTGCATGTTATATTCCCTGATTAGCTTTGGGCACGTGATAAGAATCCTCTTTTTTTCTTTTTTATCGAATCGTTCGATATTCCCTACGGGACATGCTCCAACGTATGTCGACGCTAACACAACTTGCTTATTGTCCTTCCAACTTACTGTTGTCATGTCAATGCCTTCAAAATTTGTAACATACTCTTCATAAGACCCTCTTGGAATTGAACTTTTCATAACATCCTGCTTAGTTGGCAACTTGCAAGTTTTTCCCAGTCGGTTTCTTTGAATAGTGCCTAGGGAATGTATACCTTGCTTAGCAAGTATACACATCAATGGCAAAGATGTGTAGTAATTGTCAAAATAGACAATATGATTTCTTTGCCTGGGTACCACACTCAGAAAATTCATAACTGTTTGTCCTACAACTCCCAGGTTTTGACTGTTTGAGGATCCTTCATTAGCTTCTTTCCCAGAGTAGATTATGAATCTATAAGCAAAACCGCTCAAATTGCATAAAACAAACAATTTAAAACCCCATTTCTGGGGTTTGTTGGGGAGATATTGTTTGAGAAAATGTCCCACTTTGGTGGCGCACATCTGTTCATCTATAGATAATCGCTGCTCGATGGTCACGCTAGAGAACTTTTCATTTAAATGGGTGATTATAGGACGTAAATTATGAAGCCTGTCATGCTGCACGTGGTCTACTGGCAGATGATCATCATTATTATTGAAGTGCAGTAACTTTCGCATTTTCTCAAATTTATTTATTGGCATTGCCTCTTTGATGGGACTGAAGCTAAATTTATTAGACCAATACGACCTTGTGCTCGGATAATGGTAAACAGACATAAATATTAAAATATCAAAATATTTGCGAAGTTCACCCTCTGTGAATATTTCAGGTCTGTCAGGTTGTTTCTGGACAGCATAGCGTGCTGATTCAGTAACAATGTTTTCCATAAACGGATTCGTGAAAAAGTAGATAAAAAACTGATACGGACTTTGCAGTTTCATTATAGATGAAGGTAACTCTTCAGACCCACCAAATTTGATGTTATTCTCATCAAATAGAAAAGACTGTTTTCTCCACAGTAAATTCCTCAAATTCATGAGAGATTCAGTCGGTTGTGCTTCCACTCGCTCCAACGACTGTGCGCATTGCACAAGCTGCTCATCCTGAATCAATGGTTGGTCCAGAAAATCTTCTGAATTGTCCTGTCCCGTAAGAACGTCTTCATCGTCCTCTAATTCAGCTGCTAAGGCTCCTAGATATGGGTTATAAGGAATATTTTCTCCATCTGACTCTAAATCATCTTCCGAAATGTCACCATTCTCCAACCTCCTGAGCATATCCTCTATTTGTTGCTCTGAAAAGCAAAAATATACATTCATCTATATATTAACAACGTAAACGTATAGTTTTGTGTATCTAAAAGCAAGCAAAATCATAAGCAAAACCGTTATGAACAAACAATTGAATTGGGTTTAGGCGGGAATCAAATGCATGCTGTATCGTTTTCGATACAAACATAAAACGCGATATTTGCTCACGTAAACACATGAAAGTCGTACAATTTCAAATGTTTTCAAGTAAATGAAGGACTTACCATCCATTTTGTGATTTTTATTGGTAAAAATTCGACTTATTTTCGTTTTCGCCGCTAGATGAAAAACTCAGTCTTCTGATTATACGCACCTTGTTGATGTCCTTAGCACAGACAAGAAAATCATCTTTCAGAAATAACATTGACACATGACATTTTTGTTTGTTTGTGGGCAATAAGGCAAAGAAACGTGTAAACATTCAGCCTATGCTGTACTTCAAATAAAAAACCGATAAAAACTATTAGAATGCAATGTATCAATATCGATACAAGATGCATTTAAGGGTTAGGCGCATTAAAAAAATTACGTATAACATGATTATACGGAATTTTTAAATTAGTTTAAATACATTTCGACAGCACCATCGGCTTCAACACCCTCAAAAACCATGAAAATGACACCCATGGTAAAAAAATGATACCTACTGCAGCCGCCATCTTGTATTTACATTTCGACAGCACTATCGGCTTCAACACCCTCAAAAACCATGAAAATGACACCCAAGATGAAAATATTGGTACCTACTTCAGCCGCCATCTTGGATTTACATTTCGACAGCACTATCGGCATCAGCACCCTCGAAAACCATAAATATGACACCCATGATGAAAAACTTATATCTATTGCAGCCGCCATCTTGAATTTACATTTGGACAGCACTATCGGCTTCAACACCCTCGAAAACCATGAAAATGACACCCATGATGAAAAAATTGGTACCTACTTCAGCCGCCATCTTGGATTTACATTTCGACAGCACTATCGGCTATGTAGGTAGTGCGACAAGTCAAGACGCTTTTACAAACGCTCTGGAGTTTTTAATTATATACTGGTGAATAAGTGCTTGTTTATCTTGAAAAACAGTATCAAAATAAACGTTAAAACGCAAGGAATCTGACTGTGCTTTGTGAAAAGTGAAATTGCGGAGGATAAACTGTAATATCGGCATAAAATTGGGTGCGGGTTTAGTAAGAAAATATTTGGACCTTACTACTCGATACACTTGCGTATTGTGTATAGTGCATTCTTCTGAAGTGCATCACTGTTTCGTCCGGGAGTTACTAACACAGATAGCCGATTCGGTAGACGCACGGACTGCACGCATGAGAGCAGCTGGTTCAAACCCCGCCCGAAGCAAAACAAATTTTTTTTTTTTAATATGTTTATTGCATTTTCTCAAAACTTTTATAATGGATAATCTAACACTATCTTGGGGCTGCTGTTCATTGGATGGTGAGAGTAAACAGTTTAAAAAATGCAATACTTGCGTTAAAGCATTTCACTTGGAATGCTTGGGAACCTGTCAATCACGTGCAGGCGATGCGACTGGGTGTTGGATATGCCCTACTTGTATAAATTCTAATACGAAAACCATCAACAAAGACAACACGCCTGTGCGTTTTAATCCCAATGTTACAATACGAACACAAAAAAGACAGACATCCAATTCCCCACCGGAAGCAGTGGACTTGGAAGCTCCTATTACCAGGAGTGATCTAAGAGCTATAGTGGAAGACATCACGGAAAGAAAATTTGAGACTCTTCTGGTGCAACTAACAAACACTCTTCGATCTATTATGACCTCTGAACTAGGCACCATGAGGAATGAGATAAAAGATCTGAGAGAGTCCATTACCTTTGTGAGTGATCAGTACGAGGAAATGATCAAGGAAAACAAGAAAACAAGTGAAACCGTCCGAGAATTGCGGTCGGAAAACGAACTGATGAAATCTACCATCAAAGACTTATCATTCAGGCTAAATAACTTTGAACAAAACGCTCGTTCAAATAATATTGAAATACAATGTGTTCCCGAAAAGAAAGAGGAGAACCTTACAAACATAGTATCAAAATTGAGCAATGTTATAGACTTCCCCATCTCTCCGGAGAAAATAGTACACTGCACCAGAATTGCCAAAATCAATCGCGATAATCTCGCTCGCCCTAGATCGATTATTGTTCAACTCGCCACACCCAGAGACCGTGATTGTTTCCTGGCAGCAGCTATTAAATTCAACAAACCTAGACCGGTATCGGAAAAATTAAATACCACCCACTTGGGTTACAGCGGAGAGAAAAAACCAGAATTTGTGGTTGAACACCTGTCCCCCGGCAACAAGGCACTACACGCAGCTACCAGGCTGGCTGCGAAGAAAAATGGATACAAGCATGTGTGGATACGTCATGGCCGTATTTTTGTAAGGAAAACGGACAACTCAGACTTTATAGTCATAAGAGATATGGACTCTCTAAGTAAAGTTAAATAAGTTAATACTTTGTCAATTTTTTTTCTTTTTTTAATTTAAACTCGTAATTTTATTGTATGGTACTTATTGTTAACAAAATAAAATACGATAAATTAAATGTCTACTATAAAATGTTAGAGGCCTTTGGACTAAAACTCATTCGTTCTATCAAAATCTAACAGCGTCTAGCTACGATATTATAATATTAAGTGAAACATGGTTAAATGAAAATATTATTAGTTCTGAGTTATTCGATGATCGTTATAAGGTATTTAGAAGGGACAGAGAGACGCCTGGCTTTCATAACGGAAAGGAAGGGGGTGGAGTTTTAATAGCAGTATCCAAAGAGCTTAACTCGAAAAGGATAACTATGTGGGAAAGCGACTGCGAGGATCTCTGGGTTGCGATTGACAAATCTTTTTCAAATACCTGTCAAAGGTTCGTATTTTGCGCCGTTTATTTGCCACCACCAGTCTCGATGCACCTAATAAAGCATTTCCTGGATAATTGCAACTCTGTTATTGAGGAAAACCAGTCCCATATTTGTATTGTTGGTGATTTTAATCTGGGAAGCATAGATTGGGAGCAGTTTGGTAAGTCAAGCAATTACTACCATAGTTCTGCGATTTGCCAATATTTATTGGACTTTTGTAATATTAATAACTATAAACAAGTCAATAATATTGTTAATAAAATGGGTAAAATTTTAGACTTAGTTCTTGTAGATCTCCCTATGTGTCAGCTATCCAAGCCATTAGACTTCTTGAGCGTAGTCGATAATCTTCATTCCCCCTTGAAATTTCAGCTGAGCTTCGAATTCGCCACAATGTTAGCTAACCCTAACAATATAAAACTGAACTTTCGCAAAACTGACTATGAGGCAGTTAATCTAGAGCTTAAAAGTGTCCAATGGCCAGAAATCTTTTCACTAACCAAGAACGTGGATGAAATGATAGATGTGTTTTATGATAAACTTAACTGCACCATTAAGAAACATGTGCCGGAACAAAGGCAGAAAAAACATAAATATCCCCAATGGTACAGTAAGGAGCTTATCAAAAGACTGCGCGAAAAGAATAAGTTTAGAATTAGATTTAAAAAATACAAAAATCCGCTTGATGAAATTTCCTATCATTTGATGTCAAAACGATGTAAGCAACAAGTTTCGGATTGTTATAAAAACTACCTTAGAAGCACAGAGGCAAAAATAGCTGACAACCCAAAGTACTTTTGGTCTTATATCAAAACCAAAAGAGGTGGTCATGGTATATACCCAACGGCCATGAAAAATGGATCTACCACAAGTTATGAAGGTAATGGTATCTGTGAAATGTTTGCAAATTATTTTTCGGAGGTATATAGTGATTGCAAACAGCCGTCACTCTATGATAATGCAACTAATAATACTAGTATCAACTCGGATTGTTTGGCACATATTTCAATAAGTCACGATGATATTCTCAAACGTATTAAGGGTCTAGATATATCGAAAGGTGCAGGCTCTGATAATATTCCACCATACTTCATAGTTAACTGTGCTAATAGTTTATCAGCGCCTTTAAGGTTCATTTTAAATGAATCGTTGACAAGTGGAGTATTTCCAAAGCGATGGAAGTCTGCTAAGGTCGTGCCAATTCATAAGTCTGATGATGACCAAGACGTTCGGAACTATAGGCCAATTTCTATCCTGCCTGTTTTCGCTAAGTTGCTAGAAGCAATCATTTGCCCATATATACAAAATCACTTCAAAAAATACACTTCTAGTAAACAGCATGGATTTGTAGCTGGAAGGTCTACTTCTACGAATCTCATGTGCTTTGCTGAAGACCTCATGGAAGCTGTGGATAACAATCGGCAAGTTGACGCCATTTATACGGACTTCAGCAAAGCATTCGACACAGTTCCCCACAACGTGCTCCTCCAAAAATTAGAAATGTATGGCTTCGCTGGACCTATTCTGCATTGGCTAGAATCATATTTAAGCGATAGATCCTTTTATGTGGTAGTCAATGGGTACCAATCTAACTCACACTCTATTTTCTCTGGCGTACCGCAAGGCTCGCATTTGGGCCCAATATTATTTAATATATTTATTAATGATCTGCTTGTTCACTTTCTTTATTCTCCACCGCATATGTTTGCTGATGACCTGAAACTGTCTAAAGTCATAAATAATGAGAGCGATATTATGAAGCTTCAAAAGGATTTAGACATCTTGAATTCTTGGTGCGTAAAAAATGGACTTAAATTGAATGCCAAAAAATGTACACACATAAAATTTACTAGAAAACTTAACAAAATTTCATCTTCATATACAATAGCAGGCAACATACTTAAGGAGACAGAAATCATGCGTGATTTAGGCGTCTTATTGGACACAAAACTTACATTCATACCACATATGGAACAAACGATTGGCAGGGCATCGAGAATGGTGGGTTTTGTAATAAGAAATAGTAAGGAATTCCGAGACATTAAAACTAAAAAAATCCTTTATTGTAGTCTGGTCAGAAGTGTACTGGAGTATGGTAGTGTAATCTGGCGACCGCACTACGCTACTCACTCATTGAGAATAGAACGGGTACAAAAGCGCTTTCTTCGGCATCTGTCATATTCTTCGGGTATGCGAGGCAGGCATATCAGTTACGAGACTCGTCTTAAGCGCTTAAACATGACCAGTTTATCCAAATGAAGAGAGGTTTCTGATTTGTTATTTTTATTTAGATTACTCCACAATATCATAGACTGCTCAGAACTTTTACAAAAGATTAATTTTAGAGTTCCGTTCAGGCCTCCACGAAAACCTATTACACCACTCAGTCCTCCATTACAACGAACTGTTTTGGGATCACATTCGCCAATTTGTAGGATGATCAGACTTTTAACCAAATTAGCGATCTCGTCGACATTAACCATGTTTCATTGGGAAAGTTTCGGAAGGCTGTCTATATGATAGGTACCTCAGATTTCCTTATTTGCCTTGTTAAACACTTTTCCTTTTTTAATCTTTTAATTTTTTTTAATTTTTAATTTTTTTTTAATTTTGTAAATTTTGTAAATCCATACCTTGCCGCTCTGTTTTTGGTCAGATTGTTTTAGTGAATTTTATAATGGCAATACTACAGTGTTTCTATTCAATAAGTATAAATTCGTCTTTTAATTGTCGCGATAAAAGTTATGCATGTGGTGTTTACCTGTAATTGACTGTGTACTTAGTTTTTTTTTTAACTATATCGCTTGATTTATATGGGAAGATGTTAGTGCATAAGTTGTTGGTAAACCAATTTTAATAAAATAATAAAATAAAATAAAAATAAAAATAAACACCCTTGGAAACCATAAAAATGACACCCATGATGAAAAAATTTTTACCCATAGCACCCGCGACCTTAGATTTACATTTCGACAACCCTATCGGCTTCAAATCTCTCGAAAACCATGAAAATGACACCCATGATGAAAAAATTGATACCTATTGCAGCCGCCATCTTGGATTTACATATCGACAGCACTATCGCCTTCAACACCCTCGAAAACAATGAAAATGACACTCAAGATGAAAAAATTGATATCTATTGCAGCCGCCATCTTGGATTTACATTTCAACAGCACTATCGGCATCAGCACCCTCGAAAGCCATATATATGACACACATGATGAAAAACTTATATCTATTGCAGCCGCCATCTTGAATTTACATTTGGACAGCACTATCGGCTTCAACACCCTCGAAAAGCATGAAAATGACACCCATGATGAAAAAATTGGTACCCACTTCAGCCGCCATCTTGGATTTACATTTCGACAGCACCGTCGGCTTCAACATCCTCGAAAATCATGAAAATGACACCCATGATGAAAAATATGGTAATTTGTTCAGCCGTCATCCTAGATTTACATTTCGACAGCACTATCGGCTTCAACACCCTCGAAAACCATGAAAATGACACTCAAGATGAAAAAATTGATATCTATTGCAGCCGCCATCTTGGATTTACATTTCGACAGCACTATCGGCATCAGCACCCTCGAAAACCATGAAAATGACACCCATGATGAAAAAATTGGTACCTACTTCAGCCGCCATCTTGGATTTACATTTCGACAGCACTATTGGCTTCAACACCCTCGAAAATCATGAAAATGACACCCATGATGAAAAATATGATAATTTGTTCAGCCGCCATCCTAGATTTACATTTCGACAGCACTATCGGCTTCAACACCCTCGAAAACCATGAAAATGACACTCAAGATGAAAAAATTGATATCTATTGCAGCCGCCATCTTGGATTTACATTTCGACAGCACTATCGGCATCAGCACCCTCGAAAATCATAAATATGACACCCATCATGAAAAACTTATATCTATTGCAGCCGCCATCTTGAATTTACATTTGGACAGCACTATCGGCTTCAACCCCCTCGAAAACCATGAAAATGACACCCATGATGAAAAAATTGGTACCTACTTCAGCCGCCATCTTGGATTTACATTTCGACAGCACTATCGGCTTCAACACCCGCGAAAACCATGAGAATGACGCCCATGATGAAAAACTTATATCTATTGCAGCCGCCATCTTGAATTTACATTTGGACAGCACTATCGGCTTCAACACCCTCGAAAACCATGAAAATGACACCCATGATGAAAAAATTGGTACCCACTTCAGCCGCCATCTTGGATTTACATTTCGACAGCACTATCGGCTTCAACACCCTCGAAAATCATGAAAATGACACCCATGATGAAAATATGGTAATTTGTTCAGCCGCCATCCTAGATTTACATTTCGACAGCACTATCGGCTTCAACACCCACGAAAACCATGAAAATGACACCCATGATGAAAAAATTGGTACCTACTTCAGCCGCCATCTTGGATTTACATTTCGACAGCACTATCGGCTTCAACACCCGCGAAAACCATGAGAATGACGCCCATGATGAAAAAATTGATATCTATTGCAGCCGCCATCTTGGATTTACATTTCGACAACCCTATCGGCTTCAAC